TCCGGTAAGGTGTGGGCAGCTCCGAGCCAGCTGGGAGCACTGGGATGCTCTGGGGCAGGACTGACCCGCTCTCCGCGGGGTTCGGGGGAGGGTCCAGGCTCTCTTCTTGCTCTCGGGAGTGTTGCCTTCACAGCAGCTGGCAGGGAGAAGGGGCCAGGGTGAGCTGTCCGGGTCGCTGCTGCCTCCAGCATCCTCTTGGCATACGGAGGGAGAACAGCCACCAGCATCCCTGGTGCCAGCCCTGTGCTGGCAGAGGAGGTGTTGGAGCTCTCAGCACCCTTCTCTGCCTCTCCAAAGTGGAGCTGGGAACGGTGGGGACCAGCTGGTGCTGCCAGTGGGATCTGGTGCTGCTTGGCACCCGTGGGAGCTGCACATTCCTGTGCCCTCCGACACCACTGGCAGCAGCTCGAGGTGGGCTCAGCACTGCTCTCTCCCTCACCTGCTCTCCAGGCAGTTTTCCCTGTGCCCTTTTGGGGCTGGGTTGACTGGGACCTGCTCAGCCTTGGATGTGGGACTTTGCTGAGCGTCTGCTCATGAGGAAAACATCCATCCTGGCTGGGCACTGGGCTCAGCCCGCCCGGGCGAGGCAGTGGGTAATTACTGCCGAGTCGGCTGTGCCAGCGACGTCCGGAACGCGCAGAGCCAGCGGTGACAGGGTGGATGGGGCTGGAGGAGAGGCAGGGCCAGCTGTCAAACCCATCCTCTTCCTGCCCTCGATTGGGGTGCCAGCCAGCTGCAGGGGCAGCGTGGGCTCATCCCAGAGCCCATCCAGGTCCGAGGGGGCAGTGTGCCCCCAGCACTGCAGTGTGGTCCCAAAGCAGGAGGCTGCACAGCATCTCGGTGAGAGCAGGGCAGAAACTGGGATGCTCACATACAGAGACAGTTGCCCAACACTGGGCATCCCCACTGGGCCACCTTGGCTTTGTCACTTGGATTAAATGGGTTATCAGGAGTCCCAGGAGTCACTCTGGGCTCTGCAACTGGGGGAGAGTTGCTTCATCCTCCCATGCCTCAGTTTGCCCATCTGTGGAATGGGATGAGCAGTGACTACTCACCCCCTGGAACATTTCTGGATCTCTACCCAAAGGGCTGCTCACCAAAGGGCGACTTGTCCCTGGCCACATCGGGCTCACTCAATCCACATGACTTGTCACCCACACTTGGAAAATGGTCTCAGAGTGCTTTGGGATTTCTCTTGTCCCTGTGCTGCCCCTTTGCAGCATCCCCTCACAGCCCCTGCCCTGGCTGTCCCTGGGGTCTGATCACACAGCTGTGGCACTCCGGGGGGACAGTGTCACCAGGAGGTACTGGGGGCTCTCCGAGGCTGGGGAGGGCTTTGTCCCCCACAAGGACAATGTGGCTGTTGTTGCTGGCTGAGCTGCTCTGCACGGACAATAGGTGCTTCACAAGCTGCTGAAGGAGCCAATTCCCAGTCTGGACACAGGCTGTGAGCAGCTGGGAGTGATGGTGAGGGTGGGCAGCCAGCCCAGCTGGGGGGAATGATCACCTACTGAGGCAGCTCCTCTCAGCTTATTTAAGCCAGGCTGCCTCCCTCCCCTCTTGATGCTCTGAATTTTGGGTAGCTGTTGTGTCCTGCTGCTTCCCTGAGACACGACTGGGCCCTGGGTCTGGTTGCAACACTCAGGTGTTACCTGGCTTCTCCCTCCCACTCCGAAACTGTGGATGACTGCTGGCTGGTTTCCCTGCTTCCCTCCCCACTGCCCATGGATCCTGAGCCTCCAGCCCAGCCCAGGTCACCTTTCCCCTGCTGCTGCCATGGATTTGGGAGCCTTCCCTCTGCGGCAGGGAGCCGTGCTGCAGGTCAGTGCACAGCTCATGGTGCAAAGGGGACAGACATCTCAGCACTGCTGTCTGTGGTTTAAGCGCTTTGCCCAGCAATGCTCAAAGCCTCAGAGCAGAGAGGAGTGAGGTGGTGTTTGCACTCACAACACGTTTAACAAAGGGCTTGTGTTTGCAGACAGGCACCACCTGCATCCCCCAGAGCGAGTGAGCAGAGCTGGCCAGGAGTGTCTGTGCATCCCCAGCACTCCTGGGGGGTCTTCTTCACTGTCCTCCCAAAGCCACCCCTGCCAGGGACAGGGCCTGGCTGTGCCCCCCTGCCCACACCTCTGTCTGATACCTGTTGGTCTCGGGGCTGGTGGAACATTTGCAGAGAGGGCGTCAGGGAAAGGGCTCCAACCGCAGCCGCACGTGCGAAGGGGGCACGGCTCTGGCTCTGACTTTTACTCAAAAGCCAGCAAAGGATGAGTAAAGGTTTTGTGGGCAGGAGCTGCTGCTCACTCACGGAGTCATGTGCACTCCTGAACAGAAACATCTTTGTAAAACCCCTGCTGTTTGCTCCTTGCTCCAGTGGCCTCACAAAAAGTATGCTTGTTACCTGGAGCCTGTGGAAAAGCCTTTGTTAGCTTCTCTGATTGATAGGCCTACAAAATGATTCGGACTTTAGACCTTTAAGGAAATAAGTAGCTAAAAGTTCACCTGAGTGTGAGAAAGGGCATGTGCTTCTTGCTGAGGAGTAATCAGAGCAGTTTGACCTATAGCATACTCAGGCATTTAATTTGCTGTTTGCACCCTGAGGTGGAAGTGCTGTAGCATCCAGCTTTGGGAAGCTGGGCTGTGTTTTCTAGTGTGATGGAGAAGTTTGTCCCTTGGAGGATTATAAGTCTGCTGGTCTGATAAGCAAAGGCTTATGCTTGCTGCAGGGTGAGACATGAAACGCTAGACATGTGGAGATAGCATAATGCCAGCACAAATGGGTGTCTGCAAAAATCTCAGTTATACCTAGACAGGAGAAATTCTCTTCCTAGGAAGGGTTCCTGGCACCCACACATGGTTTTGATTCTGCAAAGCAGCAGTTCAGGACCTGTCACAGCTCTGGCTCTCACTGGTTCACTCTGGTTCTCACTTTTGTTGTCTAACAAAGGGCACTGAGGGTACCCAGGGATGCTCCTCAGTGTGGGTGTGTGAGGACTCACATCCCATGGCATGACTGCTCAGGCTCATTAGGGGAGGCACTGCAGGGCACTCTCCAGCCCCACAGAGCACACCCAGGGGCTCTCCTCTGGGAGAAGGCAAAGCTGCAGCACAGCTGTCCTGGGCTTGCCCACATGGGAGAAATCCAGGTGGGGGGGAACCTCAGCCTGCAGGCTGAGCAGATCCAGGCTTGTTCTCGCTGTCTGGTGGGGAAGGGGGGAGAGGGGGGATGATGCTGTGGAGCAGACAGTGCCTCTGCTCCTCTCCATGCCCAGGAGCTGGACATAGTGGGGAGGTGTCTCTGCGTGGCCGGGAGATGTTAGCAGTGCCTGTGCCAAGGGCCCCGCGGGCAGCAGGAGGAGGTCTGTGCCCGGGGCTGGCCCTGCACACCCTGCTGCTGGCCAGGGCAGGTGGCCAGGCAGCCTCCTGGGGTGCTGAGCCTGCTGGCTCTGCAGCCTGGATGCTCCTCAGGCACAGTGTGAAGGTGATGTGTGTCCCCGATGAGCGTGGCCACGCCGGCTGTGTGACTCACAGATAATGCCCAGGAAGTTACACCACTGCATTGCAAGCAAGGGCACAGCCATATTTACAAAGCATGAGCCTGAGCAGCCTCACGACTGCTCATTAGGGCTCCTGATACCCAGCAGGAAACACGAGGGGAGAGAATATTCAGCTGGAAGGGTGATGGCAGCTCCCACTGCTGCCCCTGCTCTGCCCCTCCTCTGCCTGTTCCAGGGCTGTGCTCCAGCCTGGATGATGCCTCCTGGCTTGTCAGGGAAAGGGATGTTTTCTGGTCATGGGGAAAGGTGATTTCTAGCAGCTGCAGGGCCAAAAATCAAACAGGCTCAGAGGGATGTTTTAGAGCCCACTTCTGGCTGGTGGGTGGCAGCTCCACTTCTCCCTGAGTGCCCCTTCCATGGGACATCAGTTGTGTTTGGGTTGGAAGGGACCTAAAGCCCATCCAGTTCCAAGCCCCTGCCATGGGCAGGGGCACCTTCCACTAGACCAGGTTGGTCCAAGGTCTATCCATCCTACAGAGATTTTACAAAAGGCAGAGGAAAGGGCATTTATTTTTGGACCTGTACACAGGTCCTCTCTGAAGGAGAATGAGAGCCTCTGGTTTCTGTAGCATTTGGATGTGTATGTTGAGGAAAGGAAACAAATACATATTCTTTCATGAATTCACGGATGAGGAGTGACACAACTGCAGAGCAGCATTCCAGGGTGCAGGACGTTTCAGGGCTTGGAAAACACCGATTATTAAGTGTTACTAAATAAGAGCTGGAAATTGCACTGTATTTTTCAAATGGCTAATTAAGGATAGATGCATAAATTGGGGCACTAGCCCCATGGAACTGGGCCACGGCGTGACTGAGTCGATGCCAAACACTCAGCTGATCGCTCTGATCACAGCCATCGGTTTGGCACTTTCAGCCACCTGAAGGGGAAAAGCTGTGACGACGAGGGTTTGGGCCATCCTGGGCTGGGGTATGGCTTAGGCTCTGGTACAGATTGAGGCACCGGAGTGGGGTCTCTCCGTGGGGTTCGTGGTGTTGTGAGGAACAGCAGCAGCCTCGGCTGGTGGTGTCGGGGGCTCAGCTCTGTCACTCTTGCCTTCACAGCTGGCAGGGTGGCAGCTGCAGGGACTGTTGGGTGGGCATCACTCACTGCCAGCAATGTCAGTCATCTCCTCTGCTCACAGCCCACTGCCTCACCCAGCAGTGTCCCTGCCAGCCTCCATGCCTCCACGGTCAACATCTTCGGCACACGACCTCTGCAGCCTCCAGAGAGTGTCCTGGGCATCAGCTTCAAGCCCTACAGCCCCGAGGCCAGCCCAGCCCCGAGCCCCTGCACGGCCTGCGAGAGCACACGTAAGGATGGTGCCCAGGGTGGTCTCTGGTCCCACCCAGGGTGGGGAGGGATGGAGGGAGGCAGGGATGGGTGTCTGTGCCTGCTGCTGCTGGCACAAACCTTGGCCACAGCCTGGTGTTCCCCTGAGGGTGTGAGGGGGAGAAGTGTGACCATGGGTGTGCATGGCCCTGCTCTCCCACATCCATCTGGAGTGGGCAGCAGGGTCTGAGTCCCCCGGAGAGGCGCCTGCCTCTCCCTGCTGCCAGGATCCTCCATGTTCAGAGCTCCCTGCATGAGCCAGCGGCGGCTCGCGCTCATCTTCTGCGTCTCCGTCCTCATCG